GAACCCACGAGGCCTCCAAGATGGCCCCATGACAGCCCAAGAGGCCCCCAAGACAGCCCCAAGAGGGCCCCAATACGGGCCAAGAGGCCTCCAAGAGGGCCTCCAGGAAGGCCAGAAAAGGTAAACTTACCCTGTGACGTACCCAACTCTTTCTATACATGCGGCGATTATACTCAGGACCACTCAATGCTGACTGGCATTCTGAAGGACTCGCGCAAGAAGAGCACCCGGCAGTGATTTCAGAAGAGCGCAGCAAGGAGAGGAACGGCAAATATTCAAAATGGAAACACAGGGGCGTTGAAAGAAACGCGCCCACAAAGTGAACACAAAAGGGCGCGGCGGCGAGGGCTAAAACAGAACATCAGTTCAACTTAGCCACGCGCTGCGCTGAGTGGGGCAAATGCATAAGGTGCATAACGGGGGTGGGGACTCATCCAGAAGTGGAGACGGAAGGGCGCGGAAGCGAACCCAAAGAGAAGCACCCAAAAATGGAATCAAAAGGTCGCGTTCGCGAGAATAAGCAGGAGCACGCAGAAAAGGACGCCAGGGGGCGGCGAGGTCCCGAGGTGGTCCGCGTGGGACCCACCTCCGCTGGGCCTCCCAGGAGCCCACGAAAGCGGCGACAGATGCGCAGATCGCAAGCCCCCCAGGGGGCGACGAGGTACCGAAGTGGTCCGCGTGGGACGTACCTCCGCTGGGCCTCCCAGGAGCCCACGAAAGTGGCGACAGATGCGCAGATCGCAAGCGCCCCAGGGGGCGGCGAGGCCCCGAAGTGGTCCGCGTGGGACGTACCTCCGCTGGGCCTCCCAGGAGCCCACGAAAGTGGCGACAATTGCGCAGACCGCAAGCCCCCCAGCCGTGGTGGTCCGCGTGGGACGTACCTCTGCCGGGCCTCCCAGGAACTCGCGATAGTGGCGACAGATGCGCAGATCGCAAGCCCCCCAGGGGGCGGCGAGGTCCCGAGGTGGTCCGCGTGGGACCCACCTCCGCTGGGCCTCCCGGGAGACCACGAAAGTGGCGACAGTTGCGCGGATCGCAAGCACCCCAGGGGGCGGCGAGGTACCGAGGTGGTTCGCGTGGGACGTACCTCGGCTGGGCATCCCACCCAGGAGCCCACGAAAGTGGCGACAGATGCGCAGATCGCAAACCCCCCAGGGGGCGGCGAGGTACCGAGGTGGTCCGCGCCGGGCGCACCTCCGCTGGGCCTCCGAGGAGCCCGCGAAAATGGCGACAGATGCGCAGAACGCAAGCCCCCCAGGGGGCGGCGAGGTCCCGAGGTGGTCCGCGTGGGACGCACCTCTGCCGGGCCTCCCAGGAGCCCACGAAATTGGCGACAATTGCGCAGCGGCGAGGTCCCGAAGTGGTCCGCGTGGGACGCACCTCCGCTGGGCCTCCCAGGAGCCCCCGAAAGTGGCGACATTTGCGCAGATCGCAAACACCCAAGTGGTCCTCGTGGGACATACCTCCGCTGGGCCTCCCAGGATCCCACGGAAGCCGCGACAATTGCACGGATCGCAAGCCCCCCAGAGGGCGGCGAAGTCCCGAGGTGGTCCGCGTGGTCCGCGTGGGCATCCCAAGAGCCCGCGAAAGTGGCGACAATTGCGTAGATCGCAGCCCCCAGGGCACCGCGAGGTCCCGAGGTGGTCCGCGTGGGACCCACCTCAGCTAGGCCTCCCAGGAGCCAACGAAAGTGGCGACAATTGCGCAGTTCGCAGCCCCCAAGGCACCGCGAGGTCTCGAGGTGGTCCGCGTGGGACCCACCTCCGCTGGGCCCCCAAGAGCCCACGAAAATGGCGACAATTGCGCAGATCGCCAGCCCCCCAAGGCACCGCGAGGTCCCGAAGTGGTCCGCGTGGGACGTACCTCCGCTGAGCCTCCCAGGAGCCCACGAAAGTGGCGACAATTGCGCAGATCGCGGCCCCCAGGGCACCGCGAGGTCCCGAGGTGGTCCGCGTGGGACCCACCTCCGCTGGGCCTCCCAGGAACCCACGCAAATTGCGACAATTGCGCAGACCGCAACTCCCAGGGCAACGGGTGGTCTGCGTGGGACCCACCTCCGCTGGGCCCCCCAGGAGCCTACAGACAATGGCGACAATTGCGCAGATCGCAGCCCCCAGGGCACCGCGAGGTCCCGAGGTGGTCCGCGTGGGACCCACCTCCGCTGGGCCCCCCAAGAGCCCACGAAATTTGCGACAATTGCGCAGATCGCAGCCCCCAGGGCACCGCGAGGTCCCGAGGTGGTCCGCGTGGGACGTACCTCCGCTGGGCCTCCCATGAGCCCACGAAACCGGCGACAATTGCGCAGATCGCAGCCCCCAAGGCACCGCGAGGTCTCGAGGTGGCCCGCGTGGGACCCACCTCCGCTGGGCCTCCCAGGAGCCCACGAAATTTGCGACAATTGCGCAGATCGCAGCCCCCAGGGCACCGCGAGGTCCCGAGGTGGTCCGCGTGGGATCCACCTCCGCTGGGCCCCACGAAAGTGGCAACAATTGCGCAGATCGCAGCCCCCAGGGCACCGCGAGGTCCCGAGGTGGCCCGCGTGGGACCCACCTCCGCTGGGCCTCCCAGGAGCCCACGAAAATGGCGACAGTTGCGCAGATCGCAGCCCCCAGGGCACCGCGAGGTCCCGAGGTGGTCCGCGTGGGATCCACCTCCGCTGGGCCCCACGAAAGTGGCATCAGTTGCGCAGATCGCAGCCCCCAGGGCACCGCGAGGTCCCGAGGTGGCCCGCGTGAGACCCACCTCCGCTGGGCCTCCCAGGAGCCCACGAAAATGGCGACAATTGCGCAGATCGCAGCCCCCAGGGCACCGCGAGGTCCCGAGGTGGTCCGCGTGGGATCCACCTCCGCTGGGCCCCACGAAAGTGGCGACAATTGCGCAGATCGCAGCCCCCAGGGCACCGCGAGGTCCCGAGGTGGTCCGCGTGGGACCCACCTCCGCTGGGCTTTCCGGGAGCCCACGAAAGTGGCGACAGTTGCGCAGATCGCCGCAGCCCGACGGCACGAGAGAAGAGGAGAGGGGAACACAGGAGACAGGAGAGGAGGAGGGGAGGAGGGGGAAGGAGAAAAAGTAGGCGGGGCGACCACACTGCTCTATGCAAAACGAGTACCCAACCATAGGAGGGTTGGGAAAAACGAGTATCAAACATAGGAGGGTTGGGAAATTACCCTGTTACGTACACAACCCTTTCTATACATATGGCGATTATACTCAGGACCACTCAATGCTGACTGGCATTCTAAAGGACCCGCAGTGCGCAAAAAGAACACCCGGCAGTGATTTCAGAAGAGCGCAGCAAGAAGAGGAACGGCAAATATTCAAAATGGAAACACAGGGGCGTTGAAAGAAACGCGCCCACAAAGTGAACTCAAAAAGGCGCGGCGGCGAGGGCTAAAACCGCACATCTGTTTAACTCAGCAACGCGCTGGGCTGAGCGGGGCAAATGCATGAGGTGCATACGGGGGTGGAGACTCATCCAGAAGTGGAGACATCACACTTTGTGGCGACAGATGCGCAGATCGCAAGCCCCCCAGGGGGCGGCGAGGTCCCGAAGTGGTCCGCGTGGGACCCACCTCAGCTGGGCCTCCCAGGAGCCCACGAGAGTGGCGACAATTGCGCAGATCGCAAGCACCCCAGGGGGCGGCGAGGTCCCGAAGTGGTCCGCGTGGGGCGTACCTCCGCTGGGCCTCCCAGGAGCCCACGAAAGTGGCGACAGTTGCGCAGATCGCAAGCCCCCCATGGGGCGGCGAGGTACCGAGGCCTCCCATGAGCCCACGAAAGAGGCGACAGTTGCGCAGATCGCCGCAGCCCGACGGCACGAGAGAAGAGGAGAGGGGAACACAGAAAACTGCAGAGAATGAGGAGGGGAGGAAAGGGGGAGGAGAAGGAAGGAAGAACGGGGCGACCACACTGCTCTTTTCAAAGCGAGTGCCCATCACAAGAGGGTAGGGGGAAAACAACACTGATGTTCATAAGGTGTTTGAATAATTTTGACATATGCTGCCCGAGACGGCCCAAGAGCCCCCAAAGATCGCCCAAAGATCGCCCAAGAGGTCTCCAAGATGGCCCCAGATCGGGCCACGAGGCCCCCAAGGCGGCCCCAAGAGGCCCCCAAGACGGCCCCCAAGCCTTTAAGACACCCAAGATGGCCTCCAAGACGGCCCTGGAGCATTCCAAGAGGGCCCCAAGTCGGCCCAGAGAGGCCCCCCAAACTGCTTCCGACGGCGTCAGACGGGCCAGGAGCCCACCAAGACGGCCGAAGATGGCCATGAGATGGCCCAAGAGTCCTCCAAGAGGGCCTCCAGGAAGACCCGAAAAGGCAAAAATCATTGATGTCCCATGAGTTTGTGAAAGATTGTGGCATTTGCTTTTGTTCGGCCTTCCGACGGCCCGAGGCGGCCCAAATGCCCCCAAAGATTGGCCAAGAGGCCCAAGAGGCCCCCAAGACGGCCCAAGAGGCTTCCGAGACGCTCAAGATGGCCTCGAAGACGGCCCAATAGCCCTCCAAGACGTCCTCCCAGAAGGCCCGAAAGGGTCAAAATGGCCTCCAGACGGCCAAGATGACCTTCAAGATGCCCACGTGTTCCCCAAGGGCTTTCCAAACTGATTCGGGGAACACATGGTCCGATAGCTTGGCAGGTATGGCCTCAACGTTCGGCCGCATAGGCGCTTCCAAAAAGGCAGGGGGCGGCGGTGATTCGCCGTAGGCGTCTTCGATACATACCACATGTCAAGTGCAATGAGCAACAGACGCAAGGCAAATTCCTGCCTTGACGATGTGAGAGCTGGCCTCTGACACCACGTGAGTCGTCCAATATTGTATGATCTCCGCTTTGGGAGGATTCTGGAAGCTCTCGATCCCATGTGGTATGGAATTCGAGCCGTCGGTTCTTTGCTTTGAAGGTTCCGAAGCCCGAGCGGGGCCCACAGAGGGCTTCGGCCGAAAAGGGCCCGACTCTGTAGGGGGCGACAACGACGGCGGCGGTAAACGACAAAGTCGCCTCGATCAGGCTGTGGCCGAAGGCGGTCGGGTGCAGCACGTCCATCCAAAAGCCCCCTGTCTCGCCCAGGGCGTCGCCTCCGCGTCCATATCATGAATCCCAAGGCGCGTCGAACGGAATTACGCGGCATCCCTCCTCCAATATCGGCCCTGCCTTTTGTTCCAGAGAGCGCCCATACTAAAATTCCGATGCGGATGCAGCGGCGCGCCCAGGATACCATATCTTGCCTTCTTAGGAACATCATAACCATGCCCATTCCTTCTCCTCATTTTTTCAAGTGCCTCATTATTTCCCCTCTGCCGCCTCCTCCTTTTCCCTCCTTCTCCGCCTCTTGTTTCTTGACCACGATCGTACTCCTCCCCCTCCTCGCATTTATCCTCCTCCTCCTCGTCCTCGTCGTTGTCGTCCTCCTCCTCATCCTTCTTTTCATCCTCCTCTTCTTCCTCTATCCCTCACTTCAACAAATACCTCTTCTCCTTGTCGCAACCCGAGACGGCTCAGCAAGGCGGGCTGGGCGTTTCGCCTATATAAGAGTTCCCCACCACATATGATTCTGAAGCTTGACACGTGCAGCAATTTCACGGATGGAGGACGGGTGGATTTCAGAACGTGTCTCTCGCCCGAGTGTCTCGCGCACTCGTCTTGAACATCTGTCAAGAAGAACTTCACGGATGGGGGGCGGGTCGTTTTCAACATGCGTCTCTCGCCTAAGTGCCGTGTTTAGAAGTTATCAACAGCTTCGCGGGTGGAAGGCTGCTCCTCTTCACCATGTTGCTCTCACATTCGCGCCGCGCACACTCGTCTCAACAATTTACAACAACTTCAAGGGCTCTTGTGGGTGACGTACATGAAATGGCGCGCCAGTGCGATTCAATATTGTCATGGCGCGACAGGCACACTGTCGCAGGTTTGGCGCTTCAAAACGGTGTTATGCCACAGCTTAAGATCACCAGGTCGCAGCAACACTGACGTTGATTCGCAGCGCTGAAACCCCAGGAATGGTGATTTGGCAATTCTGTTTGTTCTTCGGCCGGTTGTTTTTCCACAGCGAGTGAACATATGCCATTATAAGAGCTCGTGGACAAAATGATACTTGGAACACTGTATCATGACATCGTCGTTGACAGGTCACGGGTTTACACGGGCCCCCGCTTTCCCCCCCGCCCTGCACCTCCTCCCTCCGAACTTCGATGGGCAGCGAAGAAGCCTTCTGAGGATGGTAAGCACTACAGTTGATGCTGAAGCTGATGAGATCCCTTCCTCTATACAATAGCAAGATGTGCTAAGATGGTTCGTCATACACCGGCGTCGACAACCTTGAGCCAAATGGCCGCGGATGTGTTCGCCCCTGCTTTGTCTCCGCTCGCTAACACTGCGGAAGGCCCCCTTAAAGTCGGGAGGGGGGGGGGAACGAAACGCATCCTGGCGGCGAGGCTTAGGGCGCGACGCTAGGTCTCAATACATTAAAATCCGCCGACCCTGTCGGCGTGTGTGACCCTGTCGGCGTGTGTGAGGGCCTGTGCCGTTCGTCGTCGTCGTCGTCGTCGTTGCAGTGCTCTAGCGGGCTTGAGAGAAATCGACCCATGTCGTAACCACGTCAAAAGAAAAACCCCTTCCCTTTGTCCCCTCCCCGGCGGAGGGGGGGGGGGGTCCTGGGGTGGTCCCGGGGGGGTCCAGGGGGGGGCTCCAGGGGGGGATCCTGGGGGGTCGCCACTCGAATACGCTTTCACTCCCCGCGCGCTCCCCGCGCGGTTCCGGAACGCCGCGCGGCTCCGGAACCCAGATCATGCGCGACCCAAAAATTTGGGTAGCGGTCGGGAACGACCAATCGCGACCGATACCGCGAAATTTTGTGTAGCGATCGGTCACGGCCTGTTACCGCCAGACGTCAATTTAGGTAGCGAACGGTAGCGAACGTTCGATGATTTCATCTGATCCGATATGAGGTTGTTACCGACCATTACCGACCGTTGCCCATTTTTGCTGCCGACCGTTACCGACCGATTTTCCGCACTTGCACTGGTGAAAACCAGCATCCGCATCATCGCTCTCATCATCACCATCATCACCATCATCGTTGTCATCATCGTTGTCATCATCGTTGTCATCATCATCATCATCATCATCATCATCATCATCACCCGTACCATCCTCATCATCATCACTGCAACAGTACGGTACGGGCGCAGGTGTCAATACCTTGTCAAACACCAGATCTGACAATCAGGTATGACAACGATCTGACATCATATGATTGTCAGACCGAGCGACCTCCTGACAATCAAGGGTCCGCGAACCTGGAAACGGTCATCACTGGCCATCGGTCATCATGGTTATCACCAACACCACCATCACTCAGATCATCGTGATCATCATGGCCATCAAGATCATCATCAGCATCATCATCAACATCACCATCATAATCACCATCAGCATCATCATCATCACCATCAACATCATCAGCATCATCATCATCATCATCATCATCATCATCATCATCATCATCATCATCCTGTTCCCCTTTCTCCTCCGCCCGCATATTGCAATCGGGGCGCTGAAAGAAGGAACGCCGAATAAGGAACGAAGGCCCTTTTTGGCCCTAAAAGCACCTCCGTGCCCGAGAAGGGCGGGAGGGACAGCAATGGAGGAACCTGGGGAACATCGAGCCCCTTCCGAACCCAAACAGTTGCTTATTTCAGCGTCTCGATTGTATCCCAGGGGCCGGGGGTGCGAACATGTCTGGCGCGCCCCCGCCACAGCCTGCGCTGCGGGCCAAACGCGCATGCGCAACGAAGAGAAGGAGCGCATCCTCCTCCTCCTCCTCCTCCTCCTCCTCCTCCTCCTCCTCCTCCTCCCCCTCCTCCTCCCCCTCTTCCTTCTCCCCCTCCACCTGCTCCTCATCATTATCCCTTTCCCCCCTCTCCTCTTCCTCCCCCCTCTGTCCCTCCCCCTCCTCTTCCCCAATCTCCTCTCCATCACTCGCCAGTTCTGTATGATGCCTCTCACTCCCGCTCGCATTCGTTGCAATCTTGATCCGATGGGGGATGAGGTGCGTGGAGGCTGGGGAAGCTGGGGTGCGATGCGGAGAATTTATATTGGGGGGGTGGGCAGCAGGTGCCGTCGTTACCGGCGGATGAGCGCAATCTATGAAAGTTCGGTGGTGGGCCAGATGGAAGAGGAAGAGCGGGGTGGACAGCCTGGCGGCAGCGCGAAGCAAAAGGAGAAATGCAAGCATTGCCCCCGACACCCATCAACGCGCCCCCCCTCCCCCCCCCCCCCCCCGCCATTCGCCATTCGCCCCCCCGCCCCCCCCCTTCCCCTCCCCCTGCCGTGAACGCGGAGATCGGGGGCATTGCTTGCACGTCACTGACTCGCTAGTCCAGGGACCCCCGAGAAAACTCGAACACCGACGCCCTGCAGCGGGGCAGGCGCGCGCCCTTGGCCGGGGGACGGGGGGGGGGCAGGGATGGGGGTGGAGGGGGAGATGTGGAATGAGGGACGGGGCGGGAATGGCGGGGGGAGGGGGGGGGGTTGGCGAGGGAGGGGGTTGGGGAGGGAGAGGAGAAGGGAGGAAAAGGGTGCCCTCCCCTCCGTCGACGGACCGCGTTCCCTCTCGCCCTCGCCCTGCCCATACCCCCCTTTTTTGTTGCATTGAAAACTCAATGAAAACAACGGCAGTTCCACGCTGTGCGGTTGGAGTGACGATGTCACGTGCGTGTCTGCCACAGCGGATCCTCTCTGATATCTTAGCGCCCATTTGATGAATTGGCGTGCACACGGCGCACGCGCGACCTACTCTAGTGACGAACCGCCGGCAATCCTCCGCCTGGTAGCACCAGACAAGCCCGGGGTTCAGAGGGGCCTGCCGCACTAGATGCCATAAGAAATGATGTTTGTTTACAACAGGCATTTAAAAAAAACTTGACCTCGTCGCGAGCTGCCCTTGGTAGCATTCGGTAGCAAGCGAAGAGGTGGTCGGCCGACCGCTGGGGCGCGGCGCACTGGGCACCTGTGAGGAACATGCCACCATCATCAGTAACCTTGTAGATCTGACTAAAGCTCTTGAAAAGAAGAGTTCTCGTTTTCTCGAGGTCTGAGCCGTCGTCGTGCTCCTCTGCCACCTCGCAAGAAATGGTAGAGAGGGACCTAGCCTCGGCCGCTGCCACTGCCTTGCTCAAAATCGGGCAGTCACCGCGGAGCGTCCTTATCCGCCACGAATAACCGAATCTGCAATTTGACAACCAATGCGGCACGTTCTTGTCATCGCATATGTGTTGGAGTTTGGCCCACAGGCGCGTTGCAATGGTGGCCCTGGTGCCGTGCTCTTCCCTGCGCACGATCCCACGCAGAAGGTTAGCAATCGCGTGGCCTGTGACGCCCGCGTCTATCGCATGCGTGACATCTAACGCCAATGGTCGGGCCGTGACCCCCCGAATGTCGTATATGGGGCGATCTACCACATAGGCCCTCCCGTGGAACTTCCAATGGTTGCCAGTCTCCGTGGTGTGTGTGTGTGTGCGTGTGCGTGTGCGTGTGCGTGTGCGTGTGCGTGTGCGCGTGTGCGCGTGTGCGCGTGTGCGCGTGTGCGCGTGTGCGCGTGTGCGCGTGTGCGCGTGTGCGCGTGTGCGCGTGTGCGCGTGTGCGCGTGTGCGCGTGTGCGCGTGTGCGCGTGTGCGCGTGTGCGCGTGTGCGCGTGCGCGTGTGCGCGTGTGCGCGTGTGCGCGTGTGCGCGTGTGCGCGTGTGCGCGTGTGCGCGTGTGCGCGTGTGCGCGTGTGCGCGTGTGCGCGTGTGCGCGTGTGCGCGTGTGCGCGTGTGCGCGTGTGCGCGTGTGCGCGTGTGCGTGTGTGCGTGTGTGCGTGTGTGCGTGTGTGCGTGTGTGCGTGTGTGCGTGTGTGCGTGTGTGCGTGTGTGCGTGTGTGCGTGTGTGCGTGTGTGCGTGTGTGCGTGTGTGCGTGTGTGCGTGTGTGCGTGTGTGCGTGTGTGCGTGTGTGCGTGTGTGCGTGTGTGCGTGTGTGCGTGTGTGCGTGTGTGCGTGTGTGCGTGTGTGCGTGTGTGCGTGTGTGCGTGTGTGCGTGT